CCTCTGTGTCTAATGTTGTCCTCTGTGTCTAATGTTGTCCTCGTTGTCTTCAGTGTCTAATGTTGTCCTGTGTTTCTAATGTTGTTTTCAGTGTCTTATGTTGTCCTCTGTGTCTAATGTTTTTTTTCAGTGTCTTCAGTGTAAAGTATAATGTTGCCTTTCGGTGTCTAATGTCAACTGATGTTGTCTTCAGTGTCTGATGTTGTCCTCAGTGTCTAATGTCGTACTCAGTTTTTAATGTTGTCCTCGTTGTCTATATCTCTAATGTCTCATTCTATCCTTGGTGTCTAATGTTGTCTTCAGTGTCTAATGTTGTCCTCTGTTTCGAACATTGCTCTCAGTGTCTAATGTTGTCCTCAGTGTCTAACGTCTTCTTTGGTGTTTAATGTCTTCCTCTGTGTCTAATGTTATCCTTGGTGTCTAAGTGTTTTCTTTAGCATCTAATGTCTTCCTCGGTGTCTAATGTTATCTTTGGTGTCCAATGTTGTCTTCAATGTCTGATGTAGACCTCTGTGTCCAATGTTGTCCTCTGTGTCTAATGTCGTACTTGGTGTCTAATGCCGTACGCTGTGTTTAATGTTGGCTTCGGTGTCTAATGCTGTCCTCGGTGTCTGATGCTGTCCTTGGTGTAAAATGTTTTCTTCAATGTCTTAAGTTTGTCTTTAAATTTTGTCCTCCCTGTCTAATGTTGCCCTCTGTTTGATGTTCTACTTTGTGTCTAATGTTGTCTTCTGTGTCTAATGTCGTCCTCAGGTGTCTCATGTTTTCCTCTTTCACTTTTGTTCACTTTTGATGTTGTCTTAGGGTAAGGCAGAGCGTGAACCTAAAGATGAGAGCGCAGATGAACGTGTGAGGAGGAGAGCATACGATCGTGGTTGTCAGAGGCTGAAGAAGAGGATCGAAGGTTAGTCCACTCTCAACTGTCCATTTATTTCGTTGTGTATTTAATGTTTCTGGTGTCTCTACTGTCTCCAGTGTTTCTATTGCCTCTGCCTCTAATGTTTTACTGTCTCCAATGTCTCTTCTTTCTCTGATGTTTTATTTTAACCCTCTCCGATGTCTCAACTGTCACTGATGAATTTACTCTGATTATTATTATATACTCTGATTTTTACATTGCCTGTCTCTACTGTTCCTTTGTTGATTGTTTCATGCTCTCCAGTTTTTACACCTCCTGTTAAACAAGTGTTGTTTAAAAAAAATAAATAAACTAATCATAAAATCTCTGACGTCTCTACTGTCTCCGATGTCTCCGCCATCTCTGATGTCTCTACTGTCGCCACCGTGTTTCAGTGGTGGAGGAGCTGCAGGTTCAGATTCTCAAGCTTTTGCTCAGCAACAATGATAAGGCTACGGTGGGTTCACCAACAAGAGTGTCTTCTGTGTTGGTTTCAAGAGCTAATCCGAATGAGGTCGTTTCTTGTGTTTCAGAGTGAAGCTTCTCGATACATTTTCCTAAACAAGTTCAGGAAGTTTCTGCAGGAAAATGCCAGTAACAGAGGAGTAAGTGTCGCACAGACACACACACAGACACACTGTTACTGACATTATATGACATTATGTATGTATGTGTTCGTGTGCGTGTGTGTGTGAGAGTAGCATCCCACAGCTCTGTGTCCTCCGGAGTATATGGTTTGTTTCCTTCATCGTCTTATTGCGGCGGTGAGAAGCTGCTGGGACGAAGGGCAGAAGAAAAGGCCAGGCAGCATTAAGAGTGAAGGTAAGACAGAGCACAGTGTGGTCACATGACCTCTTTGAGCCACTTCAATACATACGCATCGCTGACATCAGAGCTCTGTCAAACACAAATGCTGAGCTGATGATTTCAGTGACTGCTTAATTCAGCCTGAGCCGAGGTGTTGAATTAAACTGACTGCCTGACTGTCTGACAGATTCACTGTTTGTCTGTCTTTCTCTCTCTCTCTCTCCCTCTCTCTGTCTCTCTCTCTCTCTCCCTCTCTCCCTCTCTCTCTCTCTCCCTCTCTCTCTCCCTCTCTTTCTCTCCCTCTCCCTCTCTCTCCCTCTCTCTCTCTCCCCCCCCCCCCCCCTCCCTCCCCCCCCCCCCCCCCCCCCCTCTCTCTCTCTCTCTCCCGCTCTCCCCCTCACTCTCCCTCTCTCTCTCTCTCTCCCTCTCTCTCTTTCTCTTTCTCTCTCTCTCTCTCTCTCTCTCCCTCCCTCTCCCCTCCCCCCCCCCCCCCCCCCTCCCTCTCTCTCTCTCTCTCTCCCTCTCTCTATTGCTCTCCCAGAGGCCTTCATTCCCGCCCAGCTCTTCTTTAATGGTAAAGTGGACTACTTTGACCTTCAGAGACTAGGGGGTCTCCTGTCCCATTTGAAGAAGACGCTCAAAGGTGTCACTCACTTGCACACTCAAGCACACACAAGAGTAATTGGAAAACGTTCATCCTAACGCTGCTGTCTCTCTTCATCACAGATGACCTGGCCAGCAGGGCCAACATCATCATAGACCCAGCAGAAATTCAGGCCACGTCTATGGACGACCTGGATGAGGACGAGGAGACTGGAGCAGCTCAGGTTTGGCACGAAGACATCGGTGAGGAGACCAACCTCTCTTAGGCCTAGATCTCACTCTCGGTCTGTTGTTTGAACCTCAGAGACCCGGCGGTGCAGCCGCTGTGAGTGGAACTCTGGGCAGACCCAGCTGGTTAAGTTCTCCCACGTTGGGCCGGGCCAATCGGTTTCTGAGCACGGCTGCCGTCAGTCTAATGACACCCAGGCGTCCTCTGACCCAGCAGGAGAAGGTGAAGGTTCGAACCCTGGCAGTGGAGCAGAGGACAGAGGAGGACAGTGAGTGACACCCAGACAGTCAGGAGGCCGTAAAAGTTCTGGTGCTTTTTAAAGTGTGCTCATATCAGGTACAAAGTTGGTTCCGACAACATGGAAAAGAGATCCTGGTACTGTTCCTCCGTCATGGTTCTACTATAAGTCCTGGTATTTTACAATTATCTGTTCCTGGTACTGGTTTAAGTCCTGAGCTGTTAAGTTATCTGTTGTTCATAATATCTGTGAACTCTTTATGCCTTTTTAGCATGATTTTTTTTTAAATGTCAAGGTCAGTCT